ACTTAACCTTTATATAAAGCTCTCTCTTATACATGAGTGTCTGTGGATTTGTTTCTCTACAGTACCCAGGCTAACACAGTCTTAGTTTCTGAATACAGTATCATTTCTCCCACTCTGTGGAGCAGCTGCCAGATTCTAACTTATTCAAGTGTGGGAGTGATAGCTCATTCATCTTTATAACCACAGTGTCAAGTAAAATTATCATTAAGTAGTGTTTCCTTTTACTATAATTCCACTCTCCCCGCTAAAATGATAAATTCTATCTGTTAGGAATGTGTTTTAGCACCTTGGAATAGAAAAAAAGATAGATACAAAATGTGATTGTGTCAAGTGGTTTGGCCTCATTCATATCATGCTATCAAGCTCTGGTGATGTAGCGGTTATGCAATGGGCAGTTAACCACAAGGTCTGCAGTTCAAAACCACCAGCCACTTCAGGGGAGAAAGAATGGGCTTTCTATTCCAATAAAGAATTATAGTCTCTGAAACTCACAGGGGCAATTTGCCATGTCCTGTAGGTTTGCTCAGAGTCGGCTGTGCCTCAATTGTAGTGAGTTTGGTTTTTGGCTTTCTCATACCTGATAGTCAATCAAAATTAATTTAAGAGAAAATTAACCTTCATTCTGTTCATTTTAATCAAATGCTGTGTTCTCACTTTCTTATGATCAAATTGATGACACTTGCAATCTCAAAATCTATTTATCAGAGCATCCCTTAAAATGTACCTTTGTGCCTTAAGAGAATTAAAGGATACTTTCTTGTAAAGATTGTTTTCCCAGGTGACAACAATATATTTCTGCAAAAAATGTGCCAACAGAGGGGTCTCGGGGAGGAGATGAGCCAGTCAGGGTGCGATATAACAATGATGAGAAATACAACTTTCCTCTAGTTCCTAAAGGTTTCCTCCCCGCTCCCACTACCATGACTCGAATTCAATCTTGCAAGACTGGCTAGACCAGAGGAGGTACACTGGTACAGATAGGAACTGAAAATACAGGGAATCCAGGATGGATGAGCCCTACAGGACCAGTGGTGTGAGTGGCAAAACAGGGAGGGTAAAGGGAGAATGGGTAGGAAAGAGGGAACCGATTACATGGAACTGTGTGTGACCTCCTCCCTGGGGAACAGACAACTGAAAAGTGGATGAAGGGAGATGTCGGACAGGGCAAGATATGACAAAATACCCATTTATAAACTATCAAGGGCTCATGAGGGAGGCGGGAGCGGGGAGGGAGGGGAAAAATGAGGACCTAATGTCGGGGGTTTAAGTGGAGAGAAAATGTTTTGAGAAACGATGTACAAATGCGCTTTACACAATTGATGTGTGTATGGATTGGGATAACAGTTGTATGAGCCCCTAATAAAATGTTAAAAAAGAGAGAAAAAAAATCATGAAACAGAAAAAAAAAATGTGCCAAATACTTGACAAAGCTTTGAGAAAGTTGTTCTCTCTCCCAGCTCCTCTTCCTCACCTGATTCTCCTGTTAATACTCTCCCCGTGTTGCTGTGAGAAAACACTGAGTCCCGGGATTACAAATGGCATCAGTTCTTGGTGTTGCATTTATTGGAACAATGAATGGTTTAAAATCTGCAGGTGCACTCAGGGGAGGTGATTGGGGTGGAGAAAGTGTTGCAAGGAAGAGTTGGTCCATCATTGCACAGTGAGGGCAAATTTACTTAATATAAAGGGCAAGTAAAAGTGGTCCATAAACCGGGTGTTCAATACTTGGAGACTGACTGTGTTCTATTGCATTTATAAAAATTGCTTGTACAAACATCTGGCTGCTTCTCGCTGTCTATTTAAAATAGTTCTGAATATTAAGGGAACCATAGTGCATGTTGACCTGTCCAATCGGAATGCTTCCTCAACCCTTCTGGATTCTAGGTTTGAAAAGCTTCCTTTGTTAGAACCACCTCAGTTGAGGCATGTAGTTCTGAAAAATACCCCCACAAAGCAACTCCTTGTAATATGTCAATAGCCCACTTATTCGTGTTTTGGTTATTATAGATGGAGAAGTCTACAATATATTTAAAGGATTCTTCTATGAGAGAGTTAGGCATAGAATCCATGTCTAGAAAAATCTCAGTCAATGTTTCTAATTAGAATCATGTTGGTTTTTTATCCTCTTGTTCATCCCCCCGCCCCCCCAGGCATTTGGTTACTTACATTATTCACTATGATATTATCCAACTGTGAAGCATGGGCACGATCCCCTGTTGGAAGCTCATCAATATTTCATATTCTCTTGGGAAAGATAAGTGTTGTTGACATATTTGATTATCTGTTCAGAGTATAGATAATCTCACATTGTGAACACCTATTACCTATTTTGTGAGGGGTACTTGGACTAGTTGGAGAGTATACTAATAAACAGGAAAAAATCAGAAAGGCATGCCATTACAACACACACACACAGTCTTTCTAACTACAAACATGCACATCAGTATAACTTACCTTTTATTAATATAATTGTCACGTGTGAAAAATTGTATTGCTATCAATGCCTTGACTAAAGACTGAAAACAATCGCCGTTAGTTTCAACTTTGGAACATGATCATCAAAACAAATGAGGGGCTTCAAAACATTGTGTGCATCAATTTCTAAGCTGGTCATTATGCAAAAAGGAACAAACTTTGGTTTTAATGTGTGCCACTTGGAAAAATGGACTTTTTCTTACTACTGCTTCCTGTTTGGAAAATATTTTCACAAATAACTTCTTTTCAAGACATTTACACATTCTGCAGGAGACCTGGTTGGGGAGAGGTTACATGTTGGGCTGCTGATCCCAAAGTCAACAGTTCAAAACTACCAGACATTTCATGGGAGAAGATGAGACTTTCTACTCCTATCAAGAGTTGTAGTCTCAGAAACCCAGAGCAACCATTCTACCTTGTCCTCTAAGGCTTCTATGAGTCTGAACAGACTTGATAGTAGTGGGTTTTGTTTCGTACAGTATAGATGCCAAAGGGTGCAAAAACGGGAATGAGGATTCCAGTTAGCAACCCTTCCTCCCCTTCAACCCACTGCTTTCTGGTTTTAGTTTCACTTAATAGGATTACCAAAGTTAACCCAAGGAACCCTTTAAAAACAAAAGGGAGCTAGAGGATCTGAGTGACTGTCCTGGAGCCCACAGCGTCCCAGGAAAGGGGGTACATAAAAGCAGAAGCATTGCTAGTCTCTCTATTGTAGAGCCCTTCTTTCAGCCTGAGGCATTAGCTACCATTCTCAAGTACCGGAGCCTGTCTCAATACGAGCGCTAAGAAGAGTCTCAGGAGCAGACTGAACATTGAAGAGAATCTTTTCTCTTCTTTCCTTTTTCTCTTTTCCTTAACAGCTACTACTTCATTCCTGTGACCTTAGACTCATCCTCTGTAACTGAGCAGGAAATGAGCTGGTCTTGGAATCAAAGAGGCAAGTGGTATTGTTTTATGATATCCACAAAAGATGGCTTCCCAGACCCACATTGATGCTCATGCGGTGAGCGCCGTATGCAAATCCACAGTGGCTTAGGCAGAGCTGTGCTTGTCATGAAACCTCTTTTAAAGAAAGAAAAGGCGCTTTTCTTGGCAGAATTTTTAGATAAATGTTATAGCCTCAGGTTCTCTGATGTGATTGGAAATAATGAAGCTTTTTCTAAAGTGAAACTGCCCAATTATCTTCTCTCGGAGGATAATTTTATTACATGTCTATTTTATCATCTTAGCATGGAGGTAAGCTTGTCTGCTTGAGTCTTTTCCCTTTGAAATTCACTGATGGTGAAGTAAATAATTTTCTTCTTAGTTCAAGTCTAGGGTAAAATTGATCTCTCTCAGAGCTTATTCTCAGAGACTAAATCTCTCTCTTTCGATATTTTCCTCTGGTGTTTGTGTTACAGCCTAGCTGAAAAATTGATGATTCTTAACCAATATTTCTGATGTACTCATTTCTGCTAATGTAGCAATGGCTGGAAACAGCTTACTGAAGAACTCTTTCTAATAAGTCCATTAGCTCTGTAACAGGCAGCACACATTCAAGTGATGTCTAATAGTGCTAGAAGTTGCAGGCTTCAGATCCAAGTTGAAGGGGAACAATTTGGATAAAAACCCTTAGCAATCAGTCCAAGGTAGTGTGCTCTATTTCAGAACAGCCAGCATGTCAAGTATTCCATTTCATTGGCAGACCCAGTGTGAGACAAGTGTTCAGGTCTATAGTTCTGACAATATGGTCACTTCATGTAGAAGGGAGCTTTGGTTTCTTTCCTGGTATCTATTCTCAAGAAAGGAATTGGGTTTTCACAGGGCTTTTAGGCTTGCTCACCAATCCTGACCACAATACTTGACTGTGAGTCCTTAATAGCAGGTTCCTGGTTTCCTGACACTTGAATAAATAGTTATGTTGGTAGATATTAATGATGTTGTAAGTCCTTAGGCTAAAATAGTAGTAATCTGCCAGCCACCCTGAACAGTTTTTTCCATCAGAAATGGCAGCATTTTTGGTATTTTCTTTTTAGACAACATCAGTTCACTGGTGTGTAAGAGACAAGCTTTTAAATAACAGTAGAGTTGTAAAACAGACCCACAATTGCACATTAAATGGCGAACCTAGTAGTTAAAAGAGAGCCAAAGAGGTATTGACTGGTTGCACATGGTTGATTTTAGAGTCATTTAACACCTGGTTGCCCTCTGAGTTGTTACCTTTGAAAATAAACACTAATATACTATTCAGTCCAATTCGCTACTGGTCGCAACAGAGAAAAACACTTACTATAATAAAATAAATGTCTCAAAAATGAGAATTTCGGTGACTGAAAAAGAATCACAGAGAAATAGCAGTTTGACTTTCATTAAAAACAAAAACAAAAAACACACCTTGTTAATGATAGAAAATACAATAGAGCTCATTTTTGATCACACCTCCATGTTTGGGAGTGTTGTCAGACACCGAGGTAGGCCAAAGGTCTAATGATGAAACACCTTTATGAACAAAATCCCTCTAAAGTAAAACTACTTTGTTTCTCCAGGACTGTCTGCACTGTGTTATGGCCAACAACAATTAATATCAAGTCAGTGGAATTTAGAAAACTGAAGTACAACTAGCTGGCTCCCTTGTTTGCAAGAACAGCTATATAAGCCGTTTCCTGTTGATCCTTTAAGAAAGCGTCACTCAGGTAACTCCCCCAAATTCCTAGTTAGAAAGATTTCATGGGCTTCTTTTTATAAAACTACGTGGATACTTAACCAAATGTACTGAAGCCAACTCTGGTAACCTTTTAAGGACATATATAAAAAGAAATTAAGATAGATATTTTCTTCAAATAGTTTTTCATCTGGGTTGTCAGGACATGTTTCAAGTCCATCATAATTTAAATATCAGAGAGACAAAATCACCATTGGAAGCCAATCACTAGAACAGTAGAAATGCGTTTCTCCTCTGGGTCATAACATTGACTACAATATCGTTTAACACCCAATGCTACTAAGAGGTTAGCTGTCTTCAACTCAAAAGCAAAATTCTTCTCGCAGAGGTCTGCCACCGCTACCAACGTCAACTGAGATTTGTTGCTGCTGTTGTCAGGTGCCCTGCAGTTGGTCCTGACTCGGAGGACCCTGTGTACAACAAAAGGGGACACTGCCCGGCCCTGTGCCCTACTCACACACGTGGATACGTTGGGCCCATTGCTCAATTTCTTCATCTTTTGCACTCATAGTTGGTGCATAAATTTGACTAGCAGTCATATTAACTGGTCTTCCTTGTAGGGGTATGGATACTATCCTACCACTCACAGCACTGCTCTGTGGGATAAATCTTGAAGTGTTCTTTTTAAAGTTCTCTTTAATTTGGCATTCCCAGTATAGAAGACCATATTCAGATTGACCAGCACTTGCCCCTGTCAGCTCACGTATGCCTAGAATATTGATTGCTCTGCGTTCCATCTCATTTTGTGATGATTTCTTATTTTCCTGGATCCATACATCGATTTCATACATTTCACATTCTGATCATTAATGAGTGCTTTCAGCTGTTTCTTCTTATTTTGAGTTGTGACCCATAAGCAAATTAGGGTCCTACAAGCCTTGGTCCATCTAAGTTAGTGGTTCTCAACCTGTGGGCTGCGACCTCTTTGGGGGTCGAACGACCCTTTCACAGGGGTCGCCCAATTCATAACAGTAGCAACATTACAGTTATGAAGTAGCAACAAAAATAATTTTATGATTGGGGGTCACCACCACATGAGGCACTGTAAGAAAGGGTCGCGGCATGAGGACACTTGAGAACCCCAGAGTCCTTAGGGTTGACTACTGTGAGGATGTCAGCCTCCCAGGTTAGATTGTGAATGCTTCTACCGGCGTGGCTCTTCTCCCAGCATAATATCAGCAATATTCTGCTGCTTTCTATATGATTTTTTTTACTGGCCATTTTTTTTTCTGAGGTCGATCTCCAGATTCTCTGTCCTTGTCTGTCTTAGCATGGAAGTTCTGCTGCAACCTGGTCACCGTGGGTGACCCTGCTGCTATAGCCTCTAGCAGCAAGGCCACACACACCCCACTGCAGTACAACCAACCAACAAATGAGCTGTGGTAGATGGGCTACCTTGGAAAAAGAGAATGTTGTTATGCTCTTGAATTCCTGTGATTGTTGTTCAATGAACACCAACGGTACACCTCTATCATGTTGACCACTATATTTCCCATTTGCTGGTATCCTTGTCACGGGTCATTGTGTCCGCAGCCACAGAACCTAATGAGAATTTGCGATGGAGGCCGCAAGTGGTGTAATCAGTGAACGAGGGGGGCTGCTAACCCAAACCAAGCCCAAACCCCACTGTCCTGGACTGGATTCTGACCTGAAGCTGCAGGATAGAGCAGCACTCCTTTGGGTTTCCAAGACTGTAACTCTTCCCAGGAGAATGCAGCCTTCTCTCTCCCCTAGAGTGGCTGGTGAGACGGCACTGTGGATTTTGTGGTTAGTGACCCCATGCTTCACTCACAGGGGTCAAGGATGAAGAGCACTCAGATGCACTTCAGAAGAAAGGCCTATTGACCAGTTTTGGAAAACTCAGCCATTAAAAACCATATGAACACAAGAAATGGGTCAACCTGAGTCCGAACTGGCCCAACAGATGGCTATGATCAGCACTGGCCCAACAGATGGCTATGATCAGCATTGGTTAAACTTTGAGGACATAGCATACCTATAATTTTCTAATTTCTTAAAATGCAATCTTGTCTTTTAAGAGTGGCAATCTACCCTGTAAGAAAGGGATGCTTCTGACTCACTGTACGAATTTCCATTCAATGTGGTTTTTGAACACAGAGTGAGGCCCGGAGCTGCACTAATCTCTCTCCTCTGTTTCCTGTCCTGATACGAAAGGGACTCGGACCAAGTGACATCAGTAGAGGAATGCAGGAAGGGTGGACCAGAGCAGGTGACACTGTCAGAGGGGTGACCCCCAAATAAAGAGCTATAAAATGTTTATGCAGTGTTTTCACAGAAGTTTATTTATGTATTTTATTCAAATGTCTCTCAGTTGTGGGAACTCCAGTGACTTCATGCATTACACACTGAGCTACTAACCACAAGGTCAGGGGTTGGACTCCCCCAGCCACTCCGTGAGAGAAAAACGAGGCTCCCTACTGTCCTAAAGAGCTACAGTCTCAGAACCCACAGGGGCAGTCCTACCCTGTCCTAGAGGGTCACTATGAGTCAGCATCAACTTGATAGTCATGAGTCTGAGTGAATAGTTAAAACAGAAGCATTTTTGTAAGCCCAGATTACACATATCCATATACCTAGGAGGCTAAAACTTTATGCTCATTTACATGCTGAACCTTCTAACGTGTTACAACAATGCCTCTCATGACATGGGTTCGGCTACACCAGCTACGAGCCTGCACTGCCGTCTTCATTGCTGCCAGAGCTTTTAGAGTCACCGACTTTGCTAAATTTCTGTTGTCTGTGGTAATTAGTATTTGTGAACCCATATCAATAACATTTTTGGAGAATGAGATTGTAGTTAAAGGAAAAGGATGGGGCAAAGACTTTTATGCAGTCATGAATAATGTTATAACTAATAATAATATTGTGATTCGATACAGAAAGATTTTTCAAAGCAATGTATGGTGAGTATTCATCCACTTTGAGAAATATTGTATTTAAGCAATTTGTAACTACATCACCTTATTCTGTGAATAAAGGAGATAATAAGCATTACTAAGGATTCTGTATGGTCTGGTTTGGGAGAAGTTCCACATTTGGGAGTGATATAATAAGTTGCCAGACTTGGTGAAATTATCCTAGTGCTATCACTGCCAGGGTTAGTAGTAAACATGTTTAAGAACCAGAAAGTCATCTTCTGACATCTTAGTATAGCAAGGAATACTTAAGCCACACAGTGGGCTGCTTGGACCACAACAGCTGGGCCAGGGACCAACATCAAACATTTATAAAATAAAGCAGAGCACATGAGACTTGTTCTAACCATCAGCTCAGTCTGGCAAAGCAACAAATTTGACTATAACACTTTAAAATTCTCCATAGTCACATGAGAAGGATTCCTATTTCTCTGAAATGGGAATAATGAATGAATTATGAAATATGCTTTAAAGAACTTCTAATTCTTTACATACTGGCCAAACTGAAGCTATACATTTTTCTTTCCAGCTAATCAAAATGAAAATATTTAATTTAAAAATGAAATATCAGAGTAGCTGTGCCTCTCAGGCTGAAATCTGTATGGTGGGTGCTTTATCCCAAATAGTTTTCGAATTGCTATTTCAATAACAGGTCAGAAAAAATAAGACCCACATAACAAGAACAGAAGCCATATCCTCACCTTGAGTTGGCTGCAGTGCAGAAGGGTGGAGTGTCATCTTAACCAGGGTGGGGTCTGAAATAACAAGGGTGAGGCTTCAACAGCAGGGCCAAGTTCAAGACTAAAGCAGAGAGTGCAATTACAGTTTATCTATAGATCCACATCCTCTGCATGAACCAAAAAGAAAAAGGAAAGGACATGGCAATTCCAACTCATAGTGACCCCAGAGTACAGGGTAGAGTTGCCTCTGTGGATTTCAGAGAGTGTAACTCTTTATGTGAGTAGAAAGTATTATCTTTCCCCTGCAGAGCGGCTGGTGGTTTTGAATTGGCAACCTTGCAGGTTAACAGCTGAGCATCACCAGGGCCCTTGGAGTAACCATTAGCCATAACTAAGAGCTTATTAGTTAAAATATATACAGAGTTAAAAGATATGTGGTGGGGGAAAAAAAGAGATGTGGTCCTAATAAGCTAATAATTTTCATTGAACAAAAGATCCCAAAGAAATAATTATTGTTGAATATAAGCCCAGTCCAGACAGACAACTAGACTTAATTTCACTTTATGAACTTTTTTTTTTTAACTTTAGAGCTATTTATAGAGTAAGGAAGGAGCCCCAGTGGTGCTGTCAGGTAAAAAGACTGCTAAAGACAAGGTCAGTGAATCAAAACCACCAAACAGAAGAAGAAAGATAAGCCTATATGTTCTCATAAAGATGGTGATTCTCCCTGACACTGAGTGGACTCTGGCTCATAGAAACCCTATAGGACAGAGTAGAACTGCTCCAGGTGAGTTTATGAGACAGTCAGTGTTTACGGGAGTAGGACGCCTCAGCATCCTTCCACCTCAGAAACCCAGAAATCCGCTCATGTGTTGGAATGGACTCCACGACAGTGGGTTGGGTCGCTATCTAGGAAAGACAACTTGAGGTTGTACGGTATGGGGCGCAACCTACTAACTGAATGGCTGGAACAGCTTGGCTAGAAAAACCAGTCACCGTAGAGCTGTCCCATGTATGTCAGAGTGGAATAGTGCTCTTCAGGATTGCCGATGATTGCCGTTTTAGAAGAGATCTCAGGATTCTCTTCTGAAGTGTCTCCAGATAGGCTCCAACATCAACCTTTTGACTGGCATCCCAGTGTAGCAACTAGAAACAACAGTGTTGGAGACCCATTGCAGTCATGTAAAGAAAGGAAGAATAAGGAAATGAGCAAGGAAGTGAGATTTTGTAGCCCAGAAGTGGGGGTATGGGAGAGCCGTCTCATCAGAGAACCTTTGCTGTCTCTTGCATTTGTGCAGAAAATTGAACTCTGAGCTTCCTGACAACAGAGCACACACACACCTGCCCCCACAAAA